TATATATATATTAGAGCTGTCAAACGATAAAATATTTAATCTAATTAAAAACGCAACTGTCATAATTAACTCAAATGAACTAAAAATTAATCGTGATTACTCACGCATTTTTATCGTTTCTGAATGTCCTTTTATATTTGTTGTCCTATTTTTCCCCATTTTAATGCTCTCATCAACATGGAATCATGAATCAGTTTTCTCTGTTCAAAATGCAAATATTGACTGAAATAACAATTTCGATTTTCAATTTTACTTGGAGCAGTTATTCACACATAATCTCACACATTACTGTCGATCAACAACAGTGAAAAAAATATTTTGTCACACAACAGCTGCTATAACAGCTCTTTTTAGGGAATCAAAAGACAGCAATATAACATTATAAAGTTCACATCTAAGATAAACTAGTACTTAGCCTTTCGTGGATTGAAGCCATAGTTGCATACTTCGGTTTTCTCAAGTTTGCTTTGAACACAGCAGTCAGGCTATATTGATTCTGTTGGTCCTTCTTGCTCGGAAGTCTCTCTCCGGTTTTTGGAGACATAATTTCGGATGACTACACTTGGTTAGATGACAATACTGGAGACGTTTCATTTTCAGTGTGTTCGCTAGGTCGCTGCGACTGCACCGCTGAACTCTCAACGTGCCTCAGCGCACCGTTGCTGTCAGACGACCACAGAGAAGCTCCACCCGCTTTATTTATCTGGCCACGGAACACTGTAACCTTCCACATAAAATAGTTCAAAACAAGTAACAATCGCGTCAGTGGCATACATCGTATTCGACAGGCTACCTGCAATTTATTCACCAGAGGCTCATCAACCTAGTCTCTTATGCGACTGCACCGCTGAACTCTCAACGTGCCTCAGCGCACCGTTGCTGTCAGACGACCACAGAGAAGCTCCACCCGCTTTATTTATCTGGCCACGGAACACTGTAACCTTCCACATAAAATAGTTCAAAACAAGTAACAATCGCGTCAGTGGCATACATCGTATTCGACAGGCTACCTGCAATTTATTCACCAGAGGCTCATCAACCTAGTCTCTTATTTCTCTCCTGAAACAGCGTCTTCTCCCGCTTGGTGGACCTTAGCCTTCTCCGCTATGTACAATCTCTGTCCACAGCTTGTAATGGAGGCTCTCTCTAGCAATCCAATTCGAAGCAATGCGAATGATTTCAGCTTGAATCGAGCTGTGGACAATGTTGACAGGCTTGCATGCAGTAGCCATACATTTAGCTATGGCTTCAGCAAATTTGTTCTTCGTCGTATCAATCAATTTTCTTCGCTTTGAAATGATCCATAGCTGTCTGTCTGAGACGAGGGGGCGGAGTACTCACGTCAGCTGTGTGCTTGGCCATTAAGTGGTATTTCAAACTCGACGTGCTATGATGATAGCTCAGTTTACGACTGCAAAACATTCAGGTAACTTTGGTCTTGTCAGTGGAACAATCTGGCAACTTTTTAAAGGTAAACTTTCCATTCATAAATTATTTTAGTGTCCATTATGTCTATGTATATATATATATATATATATATCTATATATATATCTATATATATATATATATATATATATATATACACACACATATCAAAGCTCTGATCGCAAGCTCCAAATGAAGACTATTGACCACTCACAACTTCCGGTGATGCACGTCCTGAGTCACTGTCAGTTAAAGGTGACCTGCATTTTTATTTAGGCCATTTTAATTTTGTTATTTTATTTCATTATTGTTAATGTGAAACTGACAGGATGCTTCGGGTGCAGAGTCCACTAACACAAAAAATGTCTCATATCAATAACACACACATTTTTTTTTCCCCATTGCCCCCTCCAACTCACGATCGACTTGGGACCAGACCGCAAGCTCGCGGTTGATTGCAATCGACGTATTGGGCACCCCTGGTGTATACTGTTTTTTCAACCATTTCAGTTTTTCCAGTTTTACTGGGATTGGCGAAAATGATTTTCATGAATCACCCCTCCCCCACTGGTTGTATTTTTAGGTAAGTGGCTATTACTTCACCCATTTCGGATCAGAACAGCGTGTGGTTACATTTTTAAATAGTAAAATAAAAACAAATAAATAAACAAAGAGGTGGAAGAATGCTCAGTAGGGAAATTGTGTTGATGCCTTTTTGACCACAGTCAGGGTGTAGCCAGATCCCAGTTTAAATTTAAGAAAAAGCGGTGAGCCACAGCAGCACAGCTTTCCCTGGGAGATGATGGCAATACGATCACTAAGGAGTTCTGCCTCGTCCATGTAGTGCGTAGAGAGGATTATGGTTCGACCTGAAAGAAAAAAAAAATGCATTGATAGTATCATGGTGACACCAATGGAACTTGACCTCTTGCGTTTTACAAAATTAATAGAAAGTGTTGACATAATTGAACTTTAGGCCATTCCTGAAAGTAAACGAATAATAGAATGCCCCTCAAACAGACAATCTGAGTTCACCCTTGCGATATTTCAGCAACAAGTCCCAGATGGACCGACGGGAAAATGGGTCCACTCCTGCTGTAGGCTCATCCAAAATAACCACCTTGGAGCCTCCAACGAAAGCAAGTATCACCAACAGTTTCCTCTTCATACCACCTGGGGACAGCAGAAAGGAGATTAAAGAGTATGTTGCAATTTACAAAAAAAAAAACAAACAAACAAATAAAACAAATACAACAGTAAAAATAAGCTATTCATTAAAGCAGCAATGACCCGATAGACGTACGTGATTAAAAACTCCCTATTTAGTCGAAACTCTGAAGGGAATATTTTTCTCCCATCACGGTTATCATACTACAAATGTAAGAGCTCACCAGAGAGGTTTTTAATAAGTTCGTGGCGTTTACAAAGAAGTCCAACCTCTTGAAGCCAAGAATCACATTCCAACCTCACTTCGTCTTTCGGCTTGCCCCTCAGACATCCATAAAACCAAAGATGCTCCCCCACTGTTAAACTGCAGCAAAAAGACAGAGGAAAGAAGATTTTTGTTTTATTGTTTTGTGTAATTTCATCCGATTATATTCTCACTATTTGCAAGTCTTTCCCCCAGTCATTTTCTTATACAGACAGTGATCACTCGCTATATCGTATTTCATTTATCGCGGCTTCACTGGATCGCATTTTTTTTTTTTTTTTTACAGTATTCAGAAAAAAATGCCGAATGACTCAAGAGGGTTTTGTACATGGCCTACCATCACCCCCTCCTTCTCGGCCATAGACTGATAAGCCAGGACTGTGTCAATGAGAAGACCTTGACGTACCAGCTGCAGCCTGACACGCACACACAACCAGACAATCACTCACGCATACACGCCCTTGTATCACCGCCTTCATTGTTCATGTCTTGTGACCTGTTGTAACTGTCATATACTTGTGCAGGAGTTTTTTTTGCCTAACTCCAATTATCCTCAAAATGAGGATAGTTCGAGCGTGTTTTTTTTTCTCCCCCTCTCCCTCCCCTGTGGTTTCTTTCTGACTTCCGGTTTGAGTGAACGCTGGCGCGTTTGGCTGCCACTGCTCAACCCGTATTGTGTTTCATTGTTTTTGTTATTGTAAAGTGTCCTTGGGTGTCTTGAAAGGCGCTTATAAATAAAATGTATTTTTATTATTATTACTAATATGCATTTTAGAAATAGTTAAGCATTATTTCTCATGCTATTGAGCACCCAGGCTTTGGATTATTTCTGCAAAATATACAACTACGGTACCTAAGATCTACTGCATAAGGCATTTACACTCCCGGGCCAATGTAATTAGTGAAGCTAAAACTTACAGTGCTCAAGAGATAGCACGAGCAAATGACAACGAATGGCGAGAGCAGGGGAGGGTCGGCGAGAGAGAATGAGCAAGCCTGAGTGGAGGAAGGCAAGTGGCGCTCGACCCACTGCACCTCTCTTCAACACATCCGCAACTGTACTGGCCTCCCTTCACGTCATTCAATCCTCAAAACCAGGGGTGCCCATTAGGTCGATCCTGATCTACCGGTAGATCTAAGACAGGTCCCAAGTAGATCCGAGGAGTGTCGAGGAGAAAAAAAACAACCAACCATTTCCATGTCTTTGTACATGTTAGTAATATATTTTTTTGTGTTAATGTGCGCTGCACCCTAATCATCCTATCAGTCTCATTTTCACACACACAAATATATATACCATTATTCTCATTCAGAGTCTGCTTCGGGTACAATTCACCGAATCGAATAGGAATCTAGGAGGGAAGCACTTTAAAACGGTACGTGTGAGCTACGATAGTTAAGAGGCTGCAAAAGTGCATCGCATGCCTCAGTTTCAGGCTGTTTCTCATCGTGGCGTGGGTGTGTGTGTGTGTGTGTGTGTGTGTGTGTGTGTGTGTGTGTGTGTGTGTGTGTGTATACATCCAAAGGTGTGCGCGTGTGCCGGTAAGGGTAGATCCCGGGAGGTTAGTTGATCGAAAAGTAGATCTTTGGTCCAAAAAGTTTGGGCACCCCTGCTCAAAACTAACCCATTCCGCAACTTTTTAAACCTCCTTTAATCTTTGTTTCTCATTTCTCGCTTTCTTTTTCTTTTCTTGACATTCGTTTTCCAACTTGTGTATATTTTGCTTTAAAGTCTACGTTTTTATCCCGCATCTCTTAATTCCTGTTAGAATGTTTTTCTTTTTTTTTTTCATTTTATTAAAAGTGCTTTCAAATGAAAAGTAATATTATTATTGTCGTTAAAAGTCAATCTTTTAGATGGATTAGATTTCATTGACTATGTCAGTGAGGTGCTTATAAGTTTATTATTGTGCTTGCGGTTTCCTATCCGTGCAAGTTAGTCTCAGATTTTGGTTCTCATCATGGAATGAACTCATTTATTGGTTCTTAGATTGTGCATGACCATTTTATTCTACTTTTGGGATTTGTGAGTCCAGCAATCCAACAAGACAATCCTTACAAGTCAAACAGGACATTGTCTTGTGGACAAACACCCAGGATCTTTCGGATGATGTTCAATTGGTAGCAGACGTCCATTCCGTTGATGTAGACCGTCCCCGAGGTGGGCGGGAACATACCAGTCATAACAGATCTGACACACACACACACACACACACACACACACACACACACACTTTTGTCAGTGCAGATTATGTAAAAAAACAAAATCAATTCTTCAAAGAGCAATCTGTGATATGGAACTAACACATAGCAAGTAAATACAAATTTAAGCATTTGAGCATTATATCAGGAGGGAGGGGTCAAAAGGGGGGCACTTTCTGATGCAGCTTTAAATCTGAGTCAAACATTGGTGAAAGGTTGCAAAACCGAAACTACTCCTACATGGTGGTAGTTTTTCCTGCTCCATTGTGACCCAGAAATGAGGTGATCTGCCCCTCATAGAACTTCAGGTTGAGGTGGTCGACAGCCTTCACGGCTCCTTTCTTGTAGATTTTCACCAGGTTATTTATGCTGACGCCAAGGACCAGGTTACTTGGGTCAGCTTCAATGAGATCTAAATAGACATAATTTCGAAGAAGAAACTATCAACTGCAGATCTCAGCAAATATCACTAAATGTTCAAATGATAATACTTTTAACATCATATGCTCTGACCTTTTCTCGCTAAAGATCCTACTACATGATCAAAATCCAAGATTTCCTCACGGTGTTGTGCATAATCTAGGGCAAAATTTGTTTGATGAATGAATTTGTCAACTATGTTAGTTTTCATTGATATACATGAGACAATGGAAATGCAAAAGGAGCAAAATGTTGTTCCATGCCCACGTAACTCAGGAAAAAGCCCTGAACGGCTGCGGCACACTTTGGCGTCACACGACAACGTTTCAAGAGTTGAGGAATGAATGGCATGATATTGTCTTTGGAGAAATTTCTCAGCGCTTTGAAACCACAATGAACTGTACTGAGGTATATTTCGTGGAAGATAATTTTGTCAGCGTGAACGTTCACGTGTTCAAAAATACATTTCTGGGTTTCAAGCGAGTCGGCTACTGCCAAATCATAAGAATATATGCTCAAGGGTGTTGACGCTATTGCAATTGAACTGCTCTCTTTCATTTGGAGGATATTTTGTCTCCCATATGAGTAGGTTTCATCAGTCCATGAAACAAGACAGGACTGCAAAAGCTTGCTTGTGACACTTTCCCCTTATTCCATCCTCCCCGTTCACTCCATGTTAAGTCTTGAGATTCGTTGTACATGTCTTTAAAACGCACACTCTTTGTGCTAAGGGTTTTTTTTCCCTCAGTTTCAAACCATGCTCCCATTTAAGGAGAACGGTTAGAGTCTGTCTTGTTCCCCCCTTGTTTTTATTTTAACATCTAAGACAGAGGTGGGCAAACTCCAGCCCGCGGGCCGGATCCGGCCCGTTGGTCTTTTTAATCCGGCCCGACGAAGGTTGGTACGCAATTAAGGTTCAATGTGAATGATTGCATTCATTTCATTTGGACTTGTAATCACATAATTTCATATTGCAGAGCACAGGGAGGGAGAGGGAGACGAAGAAAGAGGGAGAGAGTAATGACCGCGGAAGGGAAAGTGATATGTATCTGAATAAACGAAGTGGGTTACAAAGTACGAAACATTCAGGAGATGCTTGGAGTCGGAAAGACTCAAATCTACGAGACTTTGAAAAACAAGGAAGCGATTCTTGCTCAGTCCGATTCTGGCAATTTCCATGCTCAGAGTGAATTGCTTGCGGCTCGAGTAAATGAACATTTCCTGGAATGGTTTGACTGTTACCGTGTTAAAAACTTTTCGCAAACTGGACCGCTAATAAGAGAGGAGGCGAGTTTCATTGCGCTAACTATGAACATTGAAGACTTCGAAGCGTCCCGTGGCTGGCTTGCCCGACACCAGCTGAGCAACGTTGTTGTCATGTGTGGTGATCTAGGGGAGGTAAAGCAAGAGACAGTGAGTGAGTGGAAATTAAAGCCACCAGGTCTCTTACTCATCTCATTTTGTAGCAAATAGGCCTAACTTTGTTATATTTTGTATATTTTTTATTTTGTAGTTTTTATTTACCTGTACTGTATGCTACAGTTTTGGAGCAATATTTTGTCACACATGTATGTTGTTCACATTCTTGGACATTCATGCAGGAAATATACCATAGTTGTTTCATTGTTTTCATGGAAAAAAAAAAAAAAGAACAACAACAACAAAAAGAGTATGTTCACACTTTAATGCTTTTGTTATGTTGCTGTTTGGTATGGACTGTCGACATATGCATTTTTTTTTTTATGTAACATATCTTGTGCTGACCCGGCCCACCTGTCAAATTTTAGAAATCAATGTGGTCCCCGAGCCAAAAAGTTTGCCCACCCCTGGTCTAAGATAACAGGACGCTTAACAGCAAACTGCCAGGATTCCTGTTCTGTCTCCCTCTGTTGGTCATTGTTTTATGTTATAAAAAGTTGAATAACCATCAGTTTTATTCGATACTATATTCTTTTTTTTTACATTATGCACACCTCTCATTTATTGTGCAATAATCTAATTGTAATGTGTATTTATTACATATTTTGATGCACTTTTATGCTTTAGAATACATTTAGGTCTGAAATTGGCAGGGGGCGGAGGGGGGGGCTTGGAACGGATTAGAGCATTTACATGGAAAACATGTCTCTAGTTACAAATTTTCTGGTTCAGAAATTTCTTCCAGAACCAATTAATTTTGTAAGTAGAGGTACCACTGCACTTGCCTCTGCGAAAAATCCAAAACGAGAATAAACATTCAGCAAAGGTATGTTTCTGTTGTAGGTGTAATTTGTGGAATAATTTTGAAACAGATCTGAAAATGTGTGACTCACTTGCTGTGTTCAAAAACAGGTTCAAAAGTCAAATAAAAAAAAAAGCTATATACATCAGATTTAAGTTAGTCAATTGATTGACTGCTGTCATGTAACTGAATATTGATTATGAGTATGAGAGAAAAGCAATATAAGACATTGCCAGTGTGTGTTTACATCGTCCCTGACGAAAACACACAAAACTTGCAGGAATATTGAAGTATAGCACGGAGGGTTAAAAAGTATTTGTATGTACACTTTTTCCTTTTCTTGTCAAATTGATACGCGAAATGAATGACATATTAATATCCAACTCCCGTATTTTCACGACCATTCGGCGCACCGTATTGTTGGGCGCAGTCTCAGTAATGGGTGCTATTTCTGTATTTGACAAAGACACAAAACGCACTGTATTATTGGGCGCAGACAGGCATGGTAAAACATACGGCAGCTTAAACATACGGCATGCATGCACGCACGCTAAAAACACGTTAGCTTGAAGCATACGGTAGCATTCATGCACGCTAAAACATACCAGGTATGTTAGCTTAAAGCATACGGCAGCAGCTAAGACATACGGACACACGCTAAAAACACGTTTTTAAAAAGGCAACGGAAGCAAAACTGAGTTCGATTGTACTTTATTTAGCCATTTTACAACATACTCACGCGACTGGTACCTGCTAGGGACTTGCCTTTCGCGTCCTCTTACACGCCTACCCTTCACTCATTGGCGATTGGTACCTGCTAGGGGCGTGCCTTTAGCGTCCTCTTATACGCCCACTCTTCACTCATTGGCGACTGGTACCTGCTAGGGACGTGCCTTTAGCGTCCTCTTACACCCCCACCCTTCACTCATTGGCGGACTTCCGCATGCCTGCCGTCACTCACGCCCGCCTTTTCTCTGTATAAACAGCGTGTCGGCCAGAAGTGCTCTCAGTCAGGCTTTGGAACTCGACGCATACACTAGACCAGGGGTGTCAAAGTCAAATGGACGGAGGGCCAGATAAAAAATGTTGCTGCAAGCCGAGGGCCGGACTGATCGAATGTTCGTTCATTGAAAATTTTAAAAATGACCACATATTGTTTATTGAACCAAATTTAATTGACTGAAAACCTAACAAATACATTCCAATATGGTCAGATAAATAAAGCAACATTTTTTATGGCTATGTCAGTAAACTTTAATTTTCAACAGGCACAAAAAATTTTCCTTTGTATAAAAATACCCATAACAATAATGAATGAAAGAAGCCGATATTATTCAAGGCACTATCACTAGTCCATATTTTCTCTTTTAGCAAAAGTAGGCTAAATTTACTTAAAAGAAAAACAAATAATAGTGCAGTAATTTTCGATCATTTACTC